TAGCTGGGAGATACACACAGTGCTCTTGTTGATCCATGATATAGTGTTTCGACAAAAGTTTTATGTGTTTTTCTATGCTTGAAATAGATTATAGAAGGAAATTAATTAAAGCAGAAGTCAATATAACAAGTTTGGTGCTGTTATAGGTATAGAACCACTAATTTGGGCCCGGTCAGAAAGAACATACAAGAAAGTAGTACATATTTCAAACACAAATAGTTACTACGCATAGCTGTATATTTGACAATAGGTGAAATATTTGGGTAGTTTTGGTATCAAATGAAAGCTTGGGGACTTGGGATCACTGTAGAACCTCTGTTGAAAGTTTCTTTTGATTAATAAAAAAAGTATATAAAATCATGATAGGGGGGCACATTTGCCCTGTTTTTGATCAGAAGTACCTGGTTATGTACTATAAACTTCCGGGAACCAGTACGCTCTAATATGCAATTAAAGGTATGTTGAATTTTTCAGCACAAGTCAGGATAAGGTATAGTTTTGACATGAAATGACTGCCACTTTATTTGAACTTAAGACAAAGTAGCCATTAGCGCTTGAAATTGCAGACTTTAACATATAAAGCAATGGGGCTGTGAATTATTGGTTTTATTCCTATTACTGAAAGGCATGTGAAATTCCAATTTTAGAAATCATACCCATTACAATGAAAATTGGTCACATTTGTTGCTAGTAATCATGTTATATTAATATTTTCATGTAGCAATTATGTTGGTGTCAAATTACAGCCCTCAAATTGCTACAATAGGATATTTCAGCCTATTTTTGTCATTTAGCATGCATACATTTAAGGCTTCACCTAAATTTAGAATTTTTGCATTATCTAAGACCGAAACCAATGAAACATGTATAATATGACTGGTTTATAGTATAAATATAGCTTTTGGTCAAATTATCTAGTGACTTTTTATTTTTTATTGGGTTTCTTAGTGTATCATATATTTCAAAGGAAATTGGTGTATACTTATAAAGGAATTCCAAAATCTCACTTGAAATGCAATTTATAAACAGTTTAGCAAGTTGTCTAGCTGGAAGATACACACAGTGCTCTTGTTGATCCATGATATAGTGTTTCGACAAAAGTTTTATGTGTTTTTCTATGCTTGAAATAGATTATAGAAGGAAATTAATTAAAGCAGAAGTCAATATAACAAGTTTGGTGCTGTTATAGGTATAGAACCACTAATTTGGGCCCGGTCAGAAAGAACATACAAGAAAGTAGTACATATTTCAAACAAAAATAGTTACTACGCATAGCTGTATATTTGACAATAGGTGAAATATTTGGGTAGTTTTGGTATCAAATGAAAGCTTGGGGACTTGGGATCACTGTAGAACCTCTGTTGAAAGTTTCTTTCGATTAATAAAAAAAGTATATAAAATTCTGATAGAGGGGCACATTTGCCCTGTTGTTGATCAGAAGTACCTGGTTATGTACTATAAAACTTCCGGGAACCAGTACGCTCTAATATGCAATTAAAGGTATGTTGAATTTTTCAGCACAAGTCAGGATAAGGTATAGTTTTGACATGAAATGACTGCCACTTTATTTGAACTTAAGACAAAGTAGCCATTAACGCTTGAAATTGCAGAATTTAACATAGAAAGCAATGGGGCTGTGAATTAGTGGTTGTTTTCCTATTACTGAAAGGCATGTGAAATTCCAATTTTAGAAATCATACCCATTACAATGACAATTGGTCATATTTGTTGTTAGTTATCATGTTATATTAAAATTTTCATGTAGCAATTATGTTGGTGTCAAATTACAGCCCTCAAATTGCTACAATAGGGTATTTCAGCCTTTTTTGGTCATTTAGCATGCATACATTTAAGACTTTACCTGAGTTTAAATTTTTGCATTATCTAAGACTGAAACCAATGAAACGTGTATATTATGACTGGTTTATAGTATAAATATAGCTTTTGGTAAAATTATCTAGTGACTTTTTATGTTTTATTGAGTTTCTTAGTGTATCATTTATTTCAAAGGAAATTGGTGTATACTTATAAAGGAATTCCAAAATCTCACTTGAAATGCAATTTATAACCAGTTTAGCAAGTTGTCTAGCTGGGAGATACACACAGTGCTCTTGTTGATCCATGCTTTTACATAAAAGTATAGTTTTTACCAAATTTCCCTCCTTTTTTTAACATGTAGAAAAAGGGGGGACAAAATTTTCAATTATATTTTATGTGTGGACCACTATATTTATATTCAATGAACAATCTCTGATAAAAAAAAGACATTTAGGTAAGAACATTGTTATTTAAGTAGATATTAACAAATAAGAACTGGTAAAAATTGAAAAAGTCTCATATTGATCACTCTTATAATCCATATGGAGTTTTCTTTGTATAAAGCATATGTTACTACCAGTCCAATTTGAGCTTGAATTCAGTGATATAGTGTTTCGACAAAAACTTTATGTGTTTTTCTATGCTAGAAATAACTTATAGAAGGAAATTAAGTAAAGCAGAAGTCAATATAACAAGTTTTGTGCTCTAATTCGGGCCCGTCAGAAAGAACATACAAGAAAGAAGTACATATTTTGAACAAAAATAGTTCCTACGCATAGCTGTATCTTTGTCAGTAGGTGAAATATTTGGGTAGTTTTGGTATCAAATGAAAGCTTGGGGATTTGGGATCTCTGTAGAACCTCTGTTGAAAGTTTTTTTTGATTAATAAAAAAAGTATATAAAATTATAATAGGAGGTGACATTTGCCCTGTTGTTAATCAGAAGTACCTGTTTTTGTACTATAAAACTTCCGGGAACCAGTACGCTCTAATATGCAATTAAAGGTATGTTGAATTTTTCAGCAGAAGTCAGGATAAGGTATAGTTTTGACATGAAATGACTGCCACTTTATTTGATCTTAAAGTGGCACTAGCTACGAGATATATAAAAAATCTTAAGTATGATTTTGTTTTGTTCAATCATTAATGAAAGTGAAATAGTGAAATAATAATTCGCTTTTAGCAGCCAGTATGGTTCAATTTTGTCAAATTAGGCTAAGAAACATTGATGATGAATTATTCACTTGCAAGTGAATAATTCGACCTCATGGAATCCGTATTCATGTGAACTTCAATTTAACCCCTTACCTAGAGATGGATAACGCATTAAGCGTGTGTGTTAGGTTATTTAAAGGGAAAGAATGTAAACATTGAAAGTGAAACAAAGGTAAATCATTTGATTGACTGATTCGATCCACAAAAAATCATTCTTGTACAGGTGAAAACGATGATTAATATATATTTTTAATCTATTATATGAAAATAAACAGACCTAGAAAAACCCAATTGCACGAGTTGGGTTTCTATTTATATCTATGTTTATGTTTATATCGCTTATATGACCATCGGATGTCTTCCGACGTCAACTCAATAGTTAATTAGATGGCATCAAGACTAAAATACACACGAAACAAAGCTACATATTATCTATCCCATGCCCTGTACATTGTTTATATTAGACTTTTTTATAATTTGGATAAATGTTTTACATGGTTATAAATCGAATATGAGAATTTGAGTCAAATCGGTGAACATGAATTTGACAGCTAGTGCCCCTTTAACGTGTTTAAGACAAAGTAGCCATTAATGCTTGAAATTGCAGAATTTAACATAGAAAGCAATGGGGCTGTGAATTAGTGGTTTTATTCGTATTACTTAAAGGCATGTAAAATTCCAATTTTAGAAATCATACCCATTACAATGAAAATTGGTCACATTTGTTGTTAGTAATCATGTTATATTAATATTTATATATAACAATTATGTTGGTGTCAAATTACAGCCCTCAAATTGCTACAATAGGATATTGCAGCCTTTTTTGGTCATTTAGCATGCATACATTTAAGACTTTACCTGAAGTTTAAATTTTTGCATTATCTAAGACTGAAACCAATGAAACATGTATATTATGACTGGTTTATAGTATAAATATAGCTTTGAGTCAAATTATCTAGTGACTTTTTATGTTTTATTGGGTTTCTTAGTGTATCATTTATTTCAAAGGAAATTGGTGTATACTTATATAGAAATTCCAAAATCTCACTTGAAATGCAATTTACAACCAATTTAGCAAGTTTTCTAGCTGGGAGATGCATACATTGTTCTTGTTGATCCATGTTTTTACAAAAAAGTATGGTTTTTACCAAATTTCCCTCCTTTTTTCAACATGTAGAAAAAAGGGGGACGAAATTGTTAATTATATTTTATGTGTGGACCACTATATTTATATTCAATGAACAATCTCTGATAAAAATAAGACATATAGGTAAAACATTGTTATTTAAGTAGATATTAACAAATAAGAACTTATAAAAATTGAAAAAGTCTCATATTGTTCACTTTTATAATTCATATGGATTTTTCTTTGTTTAAAGCATATGTTACTACCAGTCCAATTTTAGCTTGAATTTAGTGATATAGTGTTTCGACAAAAGCTTTATGTGTTTTTCTATGCTTGAAATAGATTAAAGAAGGAAATAAAGTAAAGCAGAAGTCAATATAACAAGTTTGGTGCTGTTTAGTTCAATTGGTGAGTTCTGGAACCAAATTTTTGTTTAACAAATGCAAACTGGAGACATCTGAAAAAAACTTAAATCGGTTTGTAGTGACCTGGATACTGCACCTGCCATGTGTTGTTATCGCTTTAAGGATTTTTGATATCATGCAAGTTCATGCATAGTTCTATAAGTTTTGCAATATGACAATTAGAATGTATGGGTACACGCTATTGGATGCACTATAAGTCAATGGATGGAGTGCTTCATCAATCAAGAAAATATCAACGGAAAAGTCAGGTAATTCCTACTATGTTTTTGTGAAACTTGGCCAATATATGTTTTCGAATTTGCAATTGGGGTATATTTTCATATATATGAATAACAGTAATGTGTTGATTTGGGTATATGACGTCACTTATTTCAACACATACAAAACATTTAAGATATCATTTAATTCGGTTATAACCTGATTTGGTCTCTCCTTTGTTAACGTCTGCAGCCTTGATTATTGTTGTAGTTGTTGTCATGTTGAAAAATTCTGTAAAGGTACACATAATTATGTTACTCATCACACATTTTACAAACTTTTATGTAAAAAAAACGTTTTCAATATATACGATTACTTACTAATAGGTTTAGGTAATTATGGTTTACAAATGTTCAACACAAATCTTTAGTTGTTTGAATGACACATAGACGAGAATAAAAAAAACTTTAGTAAGAGTAGATACGTTTTACGTGAGATTATTGACGAATTAAAAAAAGATCATATTTCAAGATAAAGTCTTTTTTAAAGAATATTTCAGAATAATAATTCCCGTATATTGATTAACCCAAATTATTTAACAGGCTTTCAAAATTGATTTGTGTACGATTGATAAATTGTGAAATGATACAAGCAATTTCTGCAAAATACAAAGGAAATACAAAAAGTGGTTATTCTTTTCCTAATACATGATTTCCTCACTATGAGATACGAATAAATTTTGATAACTCTTGAATTGAATATGAAATACGTTTGTTGCGTTAGTTTTTGAAAAAAAAACTTCATGCGTCCGAAGTGCTTTTCTGGATTGACCGAAATAAACTACGCCGAAAACAAAAACCAAATATTAGAAAGCCAAAGATGCGTAAATAAGCTGCAACAGTAGGAGCTAAAAGACTAAAAAATTACCTAAACATAAAAGCCGAATTCATTTTAGATCAGGGTTGGCTGTGGGAGTCGAAACCTTAGTTCGATATAATTTTAAATTCATGAAAACGTATCTTAGATACATATACAGTTCACAAGGAGCGTTTTCGACCCAGTGCTCGTAATTTATAAATTCCGTGTGTCCGAAGAGCCTTTCATGATAAACATTCATCAGGAATACTCAGACCTAAACATTTGAAAGTCAGGGATGTGAAATGACGCTGCAACCTTATGAGCTATTTGACAAAAAGGAACCCAAAGATATTATATTCATCTAAGGTAAACTTTGCCTGAGGGAGCTGGAACCTTTGTTTCTTCATAATTTCTACATTTATGAACTGAGAATTTTAAATAGGTATATGATATAACAAACCACTAGATGCAGTGTCGACTCAGTGAAACTAAAAGGTTAGTGTGGGTTGTCCGTACTATGCCACCTGCTTATTATGCCTTTAACAAATGCATGACAATAATAGGTTCAAATCGGAGACACCACCCTCATATCGAAAACACTGAGAGGTTTACTTTACGAGAATGAGCTAAAAGAACCTAACAATAGGGAAGAAAAATTCGTATATACTTGTTTTTAAAAAAAGGTAATAAAAAAAAAACGGGCAGATCTAAAAAAAAAAACAAACCCCAATTTCGTTGAATACGGGAAAGGTGTCCATACAGTGCGCTGATGTTTTGTAAGTTCTGTTAAAATGTTAGTATGTAGGATCAGACACGACCATGACTTAACAGACTTTGCAATCAAACTAGATGGAGAAACTTACACATTAAAAATCGATCAACTAGCAGATTTTACATAAATACAAAAGCAAGCTCCTAATATGATTGAAAAATTTGAATAACTTTTATGATTTAGGTTGAAAAAAATACCAAAGCATCGCAACGAAATGTAAGAAAACATTAACTGGACAGAGTAACAGGACAAAAGTCTAGGTCTACATTTTGGTCGTCATTAACGAATAGTGTTAAAAATTAAATGCGGAAGAACTGTAAGGAAATTTGGGAACAATTAATTAGAGATGAAAAAACCAAGAAACATTTACCTACATTTATAAGTTCTTAACTACTTCCGACATTACAGTTTCGGTGTCAATCTCAGCAATAGATAAGGTGTGTTTACACAAGTTTAAAATAATTATATATGATATGTATCTTTATGGGATACTAAAACTGAAAAATCAGGCTCTGCAGTAAGCTATGAAAATTGAAAATAAAATATAAAAATACATTGAATCTATAACAATTAGCCTGATTAATAGATTAACTAAAGAGACATTTCTAAACTGCAGTGATATCAAAATTTTATTTAGAATGTCTTTGATAAGACTTTTTTTCTTTTTCAAATGAACCTGCATAGTGGTAATTCCATACAAGCTTGCTGTTCGGTGTGAGCCAATGCTCCGTGTTGAAGGCCGTACTTTGACCTATAATGGTTTACTTTTACAAATTGTGACTGGGATGGAGAGTTGTCTCATTAGCACTCATACCGCATTTTCTTATATCTATAAGATATAAAAGAATTACCGGATTTTTATCTTGATATACTTGTTACATTGATCAACAATAAGAATGACGTTTTCTTTATCCAAATAACTACACACTAATCCGCCAACAAGTGTTTTGGGGTAGTTAGTTTTATCAAATTTCAGAAAAATCTATATTATTCTAAGACCTGAAGGATAACAGCATCATATGCTCAAACGATATAATGGATCAAAATGAAAATATTTCAGAAAATTTTATGAGACAAAAGCTAGAGAAAACAAGTTTGCTGAATTCTATAATCAAAAAAAATCAAATCGAATTCCAAAACAGTGGTTTCAATCAATCATCTGAAAAAATAATGTCAGAAATAAACTCCTGCACTAGATTCTATTCTTCCAAAAAATCATTAATTGAAATGATGGAAAATTTGTCTTGACTAAGATTGAAATCACAATTACTTTTTAGACGATTATGAACATTCTTTTAATTACTTTTCATGTTTCGGTTAATTTTATGGAGAAATATCTGAACAGTTGAAAAACGTTACTTTTGGCAAAAACGTTTTAATTTTGCAAAATTTAAATAAGGGTGACAGAAAAAAAAAACGATGTACATATCATACATTAGTCGTCTACTAAATAATAGTCTGTTTGCCAATTCCCGCAATTGACTCTGTAATTAGAGATGCCCTTTTTAGTTGTCTCCCTTAGAAGGGAAATATGTTTTTATTGACAATGGAGAGATAGCAGAAAGGGCAAATTATATATCGGACGCATGAAATTTATAACGTGTTGTTTTCATTTTTTTACAGCATTGGGTCGATACCTCTGCTGGTGGACTATCAGTCCCCGAGGGTATCATATGCTCAGTAGTCAGTACTTCGTTACTGACATGATTTATAACAAACCTTTTTAAAATTGTCCGTTAATTAATTTTGAAATTGTTAGAAACTAAGGTTTCAACTCCTTCAGGCAAAGTTGACCTTAGATGGATTTGGCTGTTTTTTTTAGGTCCATTTTAGTGATATAGCTCTTCAACTGAGCGTTCCTGATGAAGGTAAATCGAGGAAAGCGCTTCGGACGCATGAAATTTTTAACGTGTTGTTTTCATTTTTTATCTGTGCGTAATGTGTGTAACCTTTAAATTTTTCAAATCTTTTAATTACATTTAATTTGTTGTTAAGCCAAATACTTTTGATATCAGAAGTTATTTTTCACTAAAAGTTTGTTAAAATGCCGATATATCACTTTCAACTTATCATGCTTTGCGTGGGCAAAATCCAATTTTGTCTGGTATAGAACCAGTTTACGATTGACAAAGGGAAGTAATTTGTTTAAAAAGTGTGTACTAACAGCATCAAATCGGTAATTGGCAAATGGACTATTCACTAGTCAATTATTGCGGAAATACAGGAATTAGATGGAAAGAGGTATTTCACTTCCAGTTTTATAGTAACATTATATATGAAGGTAACAAGTTGATAAATGACGTCTTAAGTTAACCCCTTAGCTTAATTGACTAATTGATGAAAGTTGTAGTTCAATCGTGAAAATTGGAACACTTTATAAAAAAAAAAAGTTCTATTGCAAGACAAAGATACTTCCCCTAATGACCTAATGACATTCATAAAACCTTGCCTGAACGTTATAAGAAGTAAATCAAATTGGTAACAAGACACATGCATGAATTACCTGTTCCGTTGAAAAATATAGACGCTAGTTTTAAGAAGACAGATCCTTTGTCTTTGTCTGTAAACTGCATGCTACAAGTGTACAAAGTTCCATTCTCGTTTTTATTTACGGGGAATATACGTATAAACTCGTTTCCAGAATTACTGCAAACACATTCATTTGGATGACAATTTCCTTTTATATGCATGCATGTTCCAGTGTCTTTGCTGAATGTAATGGTATCCACAGACTGTTGGTTAATAAGAAACTCTGCATTATTGCCGTATGGCTCTCGGCATGAGAAACATACCAGTTTTACTTTTGAGCTATTATAATTGTTAATAAATTTGCCAACTAATTGAATACTGGTAGCACTGACAATACCTGTAAACGAAATATATCTTTAATTAATAGCATTGTATTTATTGATCATGAATTATTTAGCTGTGCGTATAATAAGAATTTTCACCTTAGAAATTACAGTTGAATGGGGATTGGAGCGCCTTTCGATGAATTTTTTAACCATAGGAGAGATATATTTCAGGAAAATGGTTAGATTTACATGTACTCTTGTGGTGACATATTTATTAGTATCATACATAAACCAGTGTAAAAACAAGGACAACACCTATCAATAACTTTCACGAACGATATTACGACAAACTGATGTCATATCCATATATCTCAACTTTTACTCTAAATGAAATTGCCGATTTATATAAGAGCACTGCTCTTGTTTCCTAATTCCAATTTTTGAATCGCGTGTATACTTTGTATTTATTTACTTTTGTAGCTATACATATCGAATTCCTAAATACAATGTGTTTACATTCTCTACTCTACATGCATATATCAGACATGATGTTTAATGACTTAAAACAATTATATGTATGGTACTGCAAATATCTTTGATGCAAGCAAGGTTATGACGTCACTTGCTAAGTGCACACAATTGGTGATAGCACGAGATAAACCTTCATCAATATCTTTTCTTCTGTAGCTTGTTTTTTTTATGTTATCGCGAAGTTCTTGCAATCGCTTTTTCACAGTAGCATTAGTGGAGCAAATCCGCTTTATTCTGATGGCTTGGCTGTAAGAAATGCTGTTGGGACAATGCTTTGGATGACAACTCCGGGAAGAAGGATAGTGATGTTAGTCTGTGGGTTTGCAATACTGTAAATATGATTCCACCCTTCAATTGTTTAGCATTGTCAAGAAATATGATCTTACAGCCAAATATAAGTGATGTTTTTTTGGGATTGGCGTTGTTAGCATGTTGAATAAACACATTAAGTTCTTGTTCAGTTTTATCCCACTTCAGGTAAATATCGCCAATGAATCAGAACAAAGCAAGCGGTTGATAAAGAGAAGAGTAATAATTGAAAATTTGCATACGACAGGACCATCTTTGTTCCATTGCTGTTCAATTAACCCGTAGATCGTGTTCACCATTAAATGTAAAGTGATTGCATTTCAATACCAAAGACGCTGGACTAAAATTTCATTTGGTGGGAATAATGTGCTGCGAGGATTTTAGACCTCTCTACAATAACACCTTCGTATGGAATACTATAATAGAAAGATATTACATCTAGCGAGCAAATGATGGTGTCAGGTTGGAAAGGGTACAAGGATTCAATTTTCAAAAGATAATGTGTTGTGGCTTGTATGTAGGATGGTATATTTTCTACGTTTGGGCTTAAATGAAAATGAATACATTCTAATATTTTCTCTGTAGGGTGATCATTGGCTATTACTATAGGATACTTGACTTTGTGTATTTTGGACAGAAAATGGAAACGTCCCGGCTTTTGATTTTTCATGTTCTTTGTATTATAATGTGTCTTCATCTATATGACCATGTTTATACATGATTTTCAAGTCTGTGGTAATCTTTTTGTTGAATTTAGAAGCTGTGGCAGAGTTGAATTTCTTATGAAATCTTTCATCAGAAAGTTGACGTTCTGCCTCTTGAATATAATCACATTTCTCCGCAACTCTGCCTTTATCTGCTGGTTTTATCATTACATCGTTTCTGTTTTTAAGGAACTACACAGCTTCAATTTCCTCTCACGATTAATTGTTGAATGTTTGGGAAGTGGACGGATGTGTTATGTCGGATTTAATTTTGTCAATAGTAAGAATCCATGAACTTCTTTTCCTGAATCTTGGAATTTCAACATCTTGTATTTCTTGAGTTGAGATAATTTATGTACATTTTAAAATTTTGATGATGTTTTGTTCACCACTTTTTAGGCGGATATCAAATGTATTTAATGTATATAAATATATATATAATTCGTCTAAACAACAGCCCAACAATGTTAGATCTGTAAATTTGCGGAAGCAAATTTTTTGTTCTTCCCTGGCCGGGATTCGAACTCATGCTACTGAGATATCGTGGCACCAAATCGCCTTGCACTGTGTCCGACGCGCTAGAACACGCGACCACCTAGGCTCTATATAATAAAGCTTTTGGTGGCCGGGTGTTACCTTTCTTCGTCAGTTTTTATCTAGCGTCGTAACATAGTACATGATATATAAGGCATGAAGATGGAATTGTTACAGATCAGCTGAATTATCTATAGTAAAGGATCCTACAAATTAATGTAAGATGCAGTCACAGAAATAATTATATTATAAGTACGTCTGAACCAGTGACGAATCTACAACAGAGTCGTCACTGGTTCAGACGTACTTATAATATAAATATATATATATATATGTAGGACTCTAAAGTGCGATGGGGATGCTAAAGTGCGATGGTCACGCTAAAGTGCGATGGTCTGCGCTTAAGTGCGATGCCTTCATACGCTAAAGTCCGATGGTCCGCGAAAGTATAGACATAAGAAACGTAGTTGGATTATGACGTTAACAGTCGTTTATACAAACCAAAAATGAATATGCCGGGAAATAAATTAAGAATATTTGATTAACAACTTTTCAATCAAATGTCCATGACTTAATTTCAGACCCCACCGTGCTTTGTCGGCTGAAGCAAATGTGTTTTTTTGGGGTGCTGGAAGAAGGACTTGTGTACTGCAGTCGGCCATTTTACTATATAGATACAAAATAGTATACGCATAGGTATCCTGTATCCTGCTTCTATTGGAAGCGAACAGATACATTTAAATCATATGATTTGTTTACGTTGCAGTTTACTTTGCTGTCCCCATTAAAATATTGTCAGTCGATTTTATTGAAAAGTAACGTCGGTAAAATAAAGGTACATGTTTTTTAAGCGTAAATTATAAATTGTCGGCTAAAACACAGCTTGTTCAGTGTAGGAAAATATGACATGTATTTGTGAAAAAGGAGAAAGCTCGGCGAATATCGCATTTTTCTCGCATTTAAGCTTGAAGCCTTGTATCAATAAATGCTAACTTACTTATTCCGACAATGAACGCATTTTGTATTTGTAATTTACAATGACGACTGTAAACTTATTGATAGACTTTTGGAGCGGCAAGCTACACCAATTATCCAAATACTTAATACGAAAGAAATTGTTAAAAAATCATTTTACAAGAAATACAGTATTTTGTGACACATAAATTACCTTTTTAGCAATGATTACATGGTCGGTCTTCTAAATTTAGAAACAATCACTTTAGCCCACCGGTCAATCATAAAGCCTATTACATATGTTATACCTTAGCATACTAGCTTTTGCAAAAAGACTTGTTTTTAACATCCATGCACTTTACTAAATGTTTTAAGCCCTCGAACCTTACCCTATTGTTCCATCTCACTTAAGCGTGATATACCATCGTACATTAGCAAACTAGCAATCATCGCACTTTAGCGTGAGACACCATCGTACTTTAGCGTAGACCATCGCACTTTAGCGTGACCATCGCACTTTAGAGTACCATCGCACTTCAGAGTCCTACATATATATACAAGTCTAAATTGAAAACAACGTTCAAACCTATGATAGCGTTGGATAAAAATCGCAATTTTTATACATGTGCATGCAAACCAAAGTTCTTGGTGGAGGGGTCTAAATACAGCACAAACAACATTTTTCAAAAGACTAAAAAAGTGGAAAAGTATATTTTAACAAAACGTACATTGGTGAATGACAACACGGACTACAAATTATCGTATCCACACGATCTACGCTGTATCATTTCATATTCATATGGATAAAAGGATAAAGAGAGATATGGGTTAACGTCAATGAGACAGCAACCAAACAACAAAGATAACAAAAAATATATATAGACGGCAACATAAAGTCTTCAATAATAAGCAGCTGTTTATACAATATGTCAAGCTCTTAATCGAAAATCTTTTTTTGTAAAGTAGGACCAATTTACACAACATTTTCCAACTAACGAAAACTTTCAGATGTGACGTACAACAACTTCTGACGGTGTTTCTTACTTGGGACAAACACATAATTTGTATGAAATTTGTGTAGATTACATATCGTTAACTGACCTTTGGAAACAGCAACCTCTGTTTGATATGTCTCATCTCCCTGACAGCACATCCATTTTCCATCCACATTCGTTTCTGGTAATATGTCTACTGTGAAGATGATTTCTTCTATATTGGCCTGATTAACATTCAAATGTTTTGACCTTCGGTTGTAAAATTCGTCATTAAAATAAAAATCTGCATACTTTTTTCCATGAGTATCAAATAACGTCACTGGCTTAGAAACATCTGCAATTCTACAAATAAATCTCAAGAGATGGTGTTCCTTTTCCCATGACAAACACGAAGGATAAGTGTTGATTAACCCTATGAAAAAAAAACCAATAAAACATCGAGTACAACACATTAATTTTAGAGTAAAATACAATTTTATTAGTTATTTCAATCTATATTGATACTTTATTTAGTCTTCTGGCCCCTTTATTTAACAATATTAAAATGTGACAATAAAATCGAACTTAGTTTAAGAAATTGTGAATAATAAATGATCGGTTTGCAGGCATTCCTTTAGGATTCAAAAGGTAACAAAAGAAACACTAAATAGTTTTTCCTTTTAACTTGAGGAGCGTGAAGTATCACACCCCACATGTATATTCGTTGTTCGAAAACACAGTGCTAATAAACATTTAACTTGCAATCCGGGTTTATGTTAGTCGATCAGTTTGAAGCATCAGTAGTTTAATCATTTAAGAAGATACAAATCAAGGTAAAAAACCTAAATTTGAGAGAATCCCATGAAGCTCCTAAAGCAACGAATCTTGGTACGACAGGGTAACCATATCATGCTATGTATGTATCACCCGTCATGCGAACCCGCAATGGGCAAACATGTCACAATCGGGTATAAGACACAGTCATTCATTTTACAGATTAGACGACTATTTTTGTATTCAAAGATCTAAGACCGCGAAAACATGATTTAAGATATAAAACACAAAGTATCGGTCAACCAATTCGTGATGGTGACCGTAAGTGATGTGCAGTATCGATTGTATTCTTTTTCCTTCATAACTCTCGGATCAATGTTTTATGTAAGGGGCACACCCCTTTGACGAAAATCCGTATAGTGGTAACAAGCACCAGCGTAATACCAGTAACGTATTACTTGAGACATGTAAACGTTTTACGATAGGGTAGAAGTTATGTAATGGTGAGAAATTAGAAGTTGGCAATTGATGAGTTGACACTTGAATAGTTGTAATCATCACGTTTTCCATAGATTAAATTATCTAGTGTCGGAAGTTTCATTAATCCAAATTTCACTGCAATATATGAGATGCAAGTACTAAATAGAAAAGGGTTTTTGATTAACAGGACATCGCCAATATATCTAAAAATGAAATTAAAGATCTTTGCCAGATGCTTTTTCTGTTAGCTTTTGAGAAGGTTCTGTTTAAGATCCCTTAATTTTCAGATTGAAAATAACAGATGAGTGAGATCATACCTCTTAACTATTTAATCCATTTACTACTTGATTTTAACAGTTTAATTTCTTATCATATATAAAAATAATTTGAAGGTATTTGTTTCTTATATCCCCTCATCTTAATTCACAAGTAAGGCAGTCTATTTTGTCTACATCAAACTAATATATATGTATGCATATGTGTGTCTTTGAATTTATTAGAGATACAAAGGAAAAGGCTCACAAGCAAGATTTTTACTACCACATAACATTCATGAATGCTGCATAACATATTTGTACGAATCTATGTAATCGTCAATTTAAAGACGGGTTTTACTTACCGCTTAAATGGATTATTAGCCATATAATCGTTGCACATGACTGCATATTATGATATAATGTCGATTGGTCTGAAATAAAATACTCTTGTTCAAAATTGTTAACAATTACGATATACATTTCATCACAGTCTTTTCATTAATCTTGCAATTGAATAGCCCTTGTACCGTAGAACGACATTTAGCCAGCTGCGGATTAAAGGCATTGCTCAATTAACGGAAGCCTTAGTTTAGCATAACATTGTTAGCAGCGGAGTCTTTCAAAAGAGTGCGTACATTATATTGCTTTTTTCAGGATTTGGTGAAGTGAACTGAAAACATATCATGTAGTGATATTCTTTGATAAAAACTAAGAAAGGGATGTTGTTTTCAATTCCACTATGAAAGAATAAATATTTTCGAGTGCAAAATGTATATCTTCAGTGTTAAAGACTTTAATGTTTACTGTTGCTCCGTCCCACTACATTTAAATGTTGATACACTGCCAAATCATTCATTGATTACGTTATTTCTAAATACTGTTATCTAGTTTAATACCGTTATTTAAATCAGTAATATTACTCAACTTAAATGTATATGTGTATCATGTTTTATGAAGCTCAAACGACATTGCTTTATACAGTGATTTTTTTCTAAACCCTTTTATTGAGAAACAAATGTATGTGCCAGTGTTACATCTTTTCTATATGTAATTTTGTACATTTAGAGCACTTTTTATATCAATATTATTATTTCTGCAATAACTGAAACATACCGTAACTTGTGAGCAATTTTCATTTACATAAAATGTGCTTTTGTTAGTTATTTAATTGTCCGACCGTATGAGATCCTAATCGGACGTAAAGGTCGTTCACAACGCAGGTGTATTTTATAATTTTGATATCATAATATAACCATTGCCTCAGATATAACATTCAAAAACAGAAATTGAAAAGGAAAAGATGTCTGAATTATAGATATTGCGCTGGCGTTTGTTTAGAAGTAAATAATCCTGTTTTTGTAGTACAAATGTTTATTTCACGTCAACAGAGTTGAGGGTGCCAACTAGGAAACCATCTGCATTCATATTGTGTATGAAATTGTACAATATTCAAATGCAGAGATGTAGTATTGTTGTCTACGAGAGGGTTATCAACATATGAAATGCAATCAGAATCAAAACGTATGCTGAATGGTAAACACTAGAAGACTCGTACACAATGAAAAAGTTAAACAATTGAAAAGGGACACTAATGGTATAATAAAGGTTAATAACACGTGTGAAAAAAAAATTTAAAACGTATTGCAAATTTTATAACTGTCAACGATATTAATAACAATTCACGCACGTTGATCGTATAACGAACACTCATTTATACTAGTGCACAGGGAAGTCTTCGTTACATTAGGTCAATCTGATTTATCATTCAAGTGGTGTAAGCAAGCATATAGAAAAATACAAAAGCTCTAAACAAAAGGATGAGACAATACTAACCGTTGTTAAAGTCCAAATCATTATGTAAGATTTTAAGCAATATTATAATTAAAATAAAAATCAACACTGTTAAAAAGTAAATTTTCAGGCTTACCATTACATTCAGGAAGATAAATATTCATGACAAACATATGTGTTGATCGCCATTGTACACAAATCATGCGAGAATCATGTGACAAGGACTTGAAATATTGACGATTTAGAAAGATATTTAAAAATACCCGTGTTGTTGAATAAGTTTATATGAGGATTGTTTGTTTGACCCCGGGAAACGAAAGTACACCTGATGATCATCGTTAAATCTTTCATAATATTGCAAGTAAGTAGTGTAGATTTTTACTATTTTCATTCGTATACATACAAAAATATATGTAATAAGAGGTGCATAATTGTTCCCAATCGGAAAACCAATCACTTGTATACTTTGTTGCTAATACGACAATGACAATTTTCAGACAAAATTCTAATGGTATTTATCAATCCTTTTTGCCGTTTAGTCACTTATACCTATTCAATCAATCCATTTTAAAGGCAAAACTCAACAATTTAGTTTTTATTGATAACATGCATATTCAGAGCAACAAAGCTACAAAGCAAAAGGAGAATATATTTATAAACTTATATACAGTTAACATTGTCGGACTAAAGTGAGCGAAATATCAGGCATACAGTTGTTAATCTAGTTCGTCTTTTCATCTTTTTATGTCTTTAGAAATGACGTTATCAGTTTTCCTTCGATTTACGAGTTTTGAATGCGTTGTGTCCTTCGACTCTTTTTTTCAATTTTTACTACCACTAGGACGATGTCACTTTTGTTGAACATTTTTGTTCCCGAGGACATAATATATCCAGGAGCATACAATGCATGAAAATGAGAAGAATACAACAAATACTGGCTTAGACGACGCACAGCAAAAACAAGGTATAAAAACAGACGTCATCAAGGACATGGTATCGTCAGAAACAACATGTATCCCTTATTACCAAACATGATCAATTTCCCGGATACACCAAATTCAGATCATGTAATGACAATTACAATAATCCTCGCACAGTGCCGTCTAAAGTTTGGCTATATGACATTTTAACTTTAATGACCCTGAAAAACCAGCCTCATTTCTAGATATAAAGGCAAAATCTTGAAATTAAATAACAGATGATAAATTTACTAAAAAATTACAAATCGTACTTCATTTGGAGTTACTATGATCTGAATTATTGACGGATTAGAGTGTAACTATTGCGGATTAGTATTATCGGTGAAAAAACAAAAAAGAGTTAACAAACGAACCTATGGCCATATATCAGACATTAACAACAATGTAATTGAAATTGTAACACCTCTACCAGAACTGGGTTCAATTACATGCCAAAGTAATTAATTACATTTCAATTACAGTGATTTTTAAATGTAATTCATTACATCACAATTACATAGATTTTCAAATGTAATTTATTACATTACAATTACATTGCCAATGTAATTAATTACATTTCAATTACTTTTGTCCAAAGACATGTAAGAGCGCTATCATTTAGAATAAAATCATAAAAGTGACAGCAGGCTAGAATAGAATGAAACATTTATATATACATGCACGTTTTAGCAGTGAAAACATTTGCACTAGCTTTGTTTTAAGTTTTCAAATTTCTAAAGTCATTGTTACAGTTAATCATCATTAGATTTTTAATGCGGATTTTTTTATTGCATTTTTTATTTTTATGGGGAAAAACATTAAGATATAGTTGAATCAGAAAAGCCAAAAATGTTCAACATGTTTAAAATTCCAAGCAAATATTTAATGTAATTGAAAGTAATTGACAAGTAATTCATAATTACATGGCAAAAAGGCAATGTAATTCATGACTTTCAAGTATATGTAATTGAAATTATACTCAATTACACATTACATTGAATTACTTTCAAATTTGTAATTAATTACAGCTAATCACAATTGCATTTTTAATTGCCCCAGGTCTGACTTCTACGTAGACAAAATGAAGAATAAGAACTGCGACACTCTATGGTTGCAATGACAACATGGATCGTATAGGTATTCTATCTAGTTCATCCTGCAGCTCGGTTAATGTGATAAATATTGTAAACTCTTCTCCTCGGCGTTGACGCAGAATGATTATCGTTATTAAACATCATTCGTTCATAATGTTCCCATTAAAGACCTTCTAACATGTACACAGAAGCTGTTGGGTATTCATGACATCCGCACGAAGCTATATTCACTATCCCTGTCGAAACTTAATTCTCTGTAAAACTAAAGTTTTGAAACCTCTGTTACAAATCCACATTCAAACCAATAAAAACTTACAGCTATCATCTCAGACATTGCATGTCACAGACTTTTCAGACTAGTTGGCATTAGCAAATAGCGTAATCTCTTCATTTCATGCAATATTCTTTACTATAAATCAGTCCAATCAAATATACCTCCCTACTTAAAAAGACCAGTCTTTTCCTATCATATTGTACACCTATACCACACCTATTGTGACTCAAATTTTCAATGTGCAACACGTGTCACAGAATCTCAATATTGGCAAGTCTTAATTTTCTGATTGCATTTGTTCCCTTTTCAAGATAGTCCAGCTGGTCACGATATAACTGGTGATCTGAACCTTGTCAACAACACCTCCTGCCGAAATAGGTTAATCAAAAGACCAATCACCCCTTCGACTAAATCCCAAATTGGACACCACATTTATAAAATACTAATGAATGCAGTCGAAGATTGTACAAGGCAGTGGGGTAAACAAAAAACATAATAGTACATCAACTGCTTGATAACGAAGTCAGGTTATGACAATTCACTAAGTTACTTAACATAAACTCAGACGACACTTACCAAACAGAATATCATTAACAATCATACAACTGATCGATGTTACTTTTGCAATTCAATCAAAGATGAACAACTTGATTTTCCTCCACTGTACTGGATATCAAAACTACATAAGTGTCCTTACAAACAACGCTATATTGCTGGGTATGCCAAGTGTTCCATGAAAACACTAAATATTATCATAATTTTGTTCATCAATTAAAATTAGGCTTCAGAGTTACGGTGAAAGTACCTAATAGTATACCCTTTTCTAAACATAAAGACAGATTGAAATAACTAGTATAACTTTATTTCATAGAAATGAATGACCAACATAGATGCAAATATCTTGTTCTAGAAGGGGTAAATCATACTTTGTAAAAAAATTACATCAAACAAAACATTATTCGAAACTGATTTTAAAATCTCAGCAGTATCAACATACCCAAACTGGTAACTATAATGAATGATTATCAGCGCTTGTTGAGATGGTTCCCACTACAGCCTGTTGTGATATTTGTGTATTTGCATCAGCGCCAGAAATCGTATTGACTTTTCTAACGCGGCTATTGATAAGTTTATATTTCTTTATTTTAGGAGAAAGCTGCATCATAATAATGATGCTAAGAAGAGTTTATGTTATATTTTTATTTGCCTGGGTATGTTGTGCAGAAGGTAAGCACCATAACTTTTTGCAATATCATTTCAAATAAAAATCAGTTCTAATATAATTATTTGAGGATATTTACATCTACACTGAAATCATGAATGTTTTAAAATTTCAACAAATCTTCGTAGTGTTGAAACCTTACAACGTCTTATGTGCACATATGTGATACTTTTAGAATAGAGACACTTAACAAACTTAAACAGAACACTTATTTTGATAAAATGGTGTTGATATCAATAAATACGTCAACGAGACAGTAACACATCGACTAAGATAATCATATGAGATCTCGAAATCAACATAAAGTCTTCAACAGCTGTCTACATAATGTATGTATATTCAATGTTTATGATCCCATTTTGTTAGATCTGGTGATCACTTTATTTGGCAATCGCCAATGGCAGTCAGCAGGGTTTAAGAACATCAGTTGTTTGACCTGTTAGTCAAATGCGTTTTGTTAAAATAGACTTTTTCACCTTTTTTGGTCTTTTGGAAATTGTTGTTTGTGCTGTATTTAGACCCCTCTACCACGAAATTTGTTTTACATGCACACGTATAAAAATTGCGGTTTTTATCCTACGCAATCATAGGTTTGAACGTTGTTTTCAATTTAGACTTTTATATATGCGTGTGTATATATTGGTGTATATAACTTTGTTATGATATTCCGAACAATTCAAATAGTATATAAAGAAGTTGAAATGCACTGAAGTGTATACAAATAAATCAATACACCACAAAATGTCACTTTGAAAACGGTTCTCTAACAGGTTTCATTCTTGCGAGATAATCTTGGTTGACTTTTGAAGGATTGACCTTCTTATTGTCAACGTAACGTAAAAGTAATAACAATTAGATTAGCAAAATGGAACGTTAACATTTAGGCCGTTAGTTTCCTCAATTGAATTGTTTCACATTTTTGTTTATGTCGGGGCCTTTTATAGCCGACTATACGATATGGGATTGTCTAATTGTTGAAGGCCATACGGTTGCCTATAATTGCTTACATCCACTTCAGTTGGACTTTGATAGATAGTTGTCTCATGGACAAAAAATATCACATCTCCTTCTTTCTATATATTCTTGATTGTGACATAATCGAATGTGACTTCTCACCAAATTTGTATTTACCATGAGCAACAAGACGGGTGGCAAAAGTGAAGCAGGATCTGTTTAACTTTATGGAGCACCTGTGATCACTCTAATTTTTGCTGAGGTTCGTGTTGCTCAGTATGTTGTCTAGTGTTTTGTAGACTGTTACTCGCATGTTAAATTGTGATATTATCAGTTTTTTGTTCGACGTATGCTTTAGACTTTTCCTTTGGTAACTTATGCCTCTTTCTTCTATGTTCATTGATGTTAACGCCTAATTTTGTTTGTGTCAGGTAGAACTGTGTTCGTTTAAAAAAAAGAAAAGACATTGAAATGAAAAAAATATGATATTGACCATAGCACAAAAAATGCCTGTGTCATTGATATCTCTGTTTTTCGAAGTCTTTAAGCCATGATCTCCACAGATAATTCCTCTTAAGTTTTGAAAAAATTCTGAAATCCATCCATTATTAATAGCATAAGTTTGTGTCCCAGTATATAATGTTTTACCCAGTTAATAAATGACTCCTTAAATCCAAGTGTTTCGAAGTGATTAGCATAAAATCCCATTCCAATGAATCAATAGCTTCGGTAAAATCTACAGAAGCTATTGCCCCCTCAATCGTATATGCTTCCGGATAACCACTAATGTCTTGAATCGGTCTAAAATTAAAACCAATTAATCTGTTTTTCATATACCATGTTTGATTTTTATTAATAATTTTTGGTAGTATCTTCTTTAAGCGATGTGCTAGAACAAAAGACAATTATTTTGAATCTACATTTAGTAAAAGAAATAGGTCTATGATTATCCAATAATAAATTATCCCTCTTTTTAAACAATAAATTCAAAATACTTGTGCGTTGCGTGTGTGATAAACATCCTTTTTCATTACCCTTATTAAAACATTGACTAGAAATTATTTCACTATTCTTACTTAATTTAGAATCTATAAAAGTGCTTTATTTTGAAGATAATGTTCCTAATTTGTTTTAGACGTATATATGATTTATTCCTGTATCAAGTCAGGAATTTGGCAGTTGTTATCAAATAGTACGTTTCTATGTATGTTGGCATTTGTTTTTGTTGCACTTTGGTGTTTCTGTTGTTCCGTATTTCCTCTTATAATTGACGTGTTTCCCTCGGTTTTAGTTTGTAACCCGGATTTGTTTTCTCTCAATCGATTTATGACTTTTGAACAGCGATATACTAATGTTGCCTTTATTCATAACGATCCAGCGCCCTCGTAGGAAAGATCGTTGACGAATATCTAGTAGACGTTTTATATCTAAATATGGATCGTTATGAAAAACAAAACGATATTGTACACAATAGAAACCCTATATATATATACCCCTAAAAAGTGTTCAAACAAAACAATTATCAAATCAGGAAAAAGTAAATACAAGTAAAACTAATTTCTTGGTGGAGGGGTCTAAATACAGCGCAAACAACATTTTCCAAAAGACCAAAAAGTGAAAAGTATATTTTAACAAAACGCATTTGACTAACAGGTCGAACAACTGATGTTCTTAAACCCTGCTGACTGCCATTGGCGATTGCCAAATAAATTGATCACCAGATGTTACATGGATCTTAATTATTAACTTTAATACCAAACAGAAACCAATAAACTTGCGGAAAAGATGGTATATCGCAAAAATAAAGTGCAAATATTTTTTTTTTTGTACACCATATCCGGATTTCGACAATTAATGTCTCTTCAGTGATGTCAGGGATCGAAACGGTATTTGGAAGGCCATTTAATTTACCTCAATTTAGGATAGACTCTTGAATTTTAAAGAGTCGAAACAGGATGAACGGATCATATAAACCCGAAGGAAAAAATAATACAAGCCCAAACGAAAAAATATAACCAAGTCTAAATTGAAAACAACGTTCAAACCTATGATTGCGTTGGATAAAAACAGCAATTTTTATACGTGTGCATGTAAAACTAATTTCTTGGTAGAGGGGTCTAAATACAGCACAAACAACATTTTCCAAAAGACCAAAAAGTGAAAAGAATATTTTAACAAAACGCATTTGACTAACAGGTCGAACAACTGATGTTCTTAAACCCTGATGACTGCCATTGGCGATTGGCAAATAAATTGATCACCAGATGTTACATTGATCTTAATTATTAATTTTAATACCAAACAGAAAACCATAAACTTGAGGAAAAGATGGTATATCGCAAAAATAAAGTGCAAACATTTTTTTTGTTTGTACACCATATCCGGATTTCGACAATTAATGTCTCTTCAGTGATGTTAGGGATCGAAACGGTATTTGGAAGGCCATTTAATTTACCTCAATTTAGGATAGAATCTTGAATTTTAAAGAGTCGAAACAGGATGAACGGATCATATAAACCCGAAGGAAAAAATAATACAAGCCCAAACGAAAAAATATAACCAAGTCTAAATTGAAAACAACGTTCAAACCTATGATTGCGTTGGATAAAAACAGCAATTTTTATACGTGTGCATGTAAAACTAATTTCTTGGTAGAGGGGTCTAAATACAGCACAAACAACATTTTCCAAAAGACCAAAAAGTGAAAAGAATATTTTAACAAAACGCATTTGACTAACAGGTCGAACAACTGATGTTCTTAAACCCTGCTGACTGCCATTGGCGATTGCCAAATAAATTGATCACCAGATGTTACATGGATCTTAATTATTAATTTTAATACCAAACAGAAAACAATAAACTTGCGGAAAAGATGGTATATCGCAAAAATAAAGTGCAAACATTTTTTTTGTTTGTACACCATATCCGGATTTCGACAATTAATGTCTCTTCAGTGATGTAAGGGATCGAAACGGTATTTGGAAGGCCATATAATTTACCTCAATTTAGGATAGAATCTTGAATTTTAAAGAGTCGAAATAGGATGAACGGATCATATAAACCCGAAGGAAAAAATAATACAAGCCCAAACGAAAAAATATAACCAAGTCTAAATTGAAAACAACGTTCAAACCTATGATTGCGTTGGATAAAAACCGCAATTTTTATACGTGTGCATGTAAAACTAATTTCTTGGTAGAGGGGTCTAAATACAGCACAAACAACATTTTCCAAAAGACCAAAAAGTCAAAAGTATATTTTAACAAAACGCATTTGACTAACAGGTCGAACAACTGATGTTCTTAAACCCTGCTGACTGCCATTGGCAATTGCCAAATAAATTGATCACCAGATGTAACAAAATGGATCTTAATAATAATTTAATACCAAACAGAAAACAATAAACTTGCGGAAAAGATGGTATACCACTTACATGAGGTGCACAATTTTTTACACCATATCCGGATTTCGACAATTAATGTCTCTTCAGTGATGATAGGAATCGAAACGGTATTTGGAAGGCCATATAATTTACCTCAATTAAGGATAGACTCTTGAATTTTAAAGAGTCGAAATAGGATGAACGGATCATATAAACCCGAGGAAAAATATAATACAAGCCCAAACGAAAAAATATAAACAAGTCTAAATTGAAAACAACGTTCAATCCTATGATTGCGTTGGATAAAAACCGCAATTTTTATACGTGTGCATGTAAAACCAATTTCTTGGTAGAGGGGTCTAAATACAGCACAAACAACATAAAGAGATATGTCTGCCTATGTGTAGTGACAACTGCAAATTATACCATGTCCATCGGATTTCTTATGATTTAGAAATACCAGGAGTTAGAATATTTATAAAATGCCTAGAAAATCAACCTAACAATGTTAGAGTAGATCTGATTCTTTATTTCCTCCCCGCTCTGGGCTGGAACCTGTACATTTCACTTATCTCTTCTACGACAACACCGCCTAGCATTGCGCAGACGCTTCCTCTCCTCTAACTATAGCTGATGAAAATCAGCATTCGTTTCGGGAGGTGTCACCTTCTCATAGGAATTAAACAATGTCATCTAACACATGTACAATACACGAAGTATTTTTAAGTGTAAATCTACTCATCTCTTCAGTATAATTACAGGATGTTGTTCTATTTTTAGAAGCATATCATCACTGTAAAGTTTTATATACAGATATGTCTGCCTATGTGTAGTGATAACTGCAAATAATACCTTGTCCATCGGATTTCTACAGAAATACCAGGCATTAGAATATTTATAAAATGCCTAGAAAATCAACCAAACAATGTTAGAGTAGATCTGATTCTTCACTTGCAGCCCCGTTCTTGGAGGCTGGTTCTGTTTGATTTTTTGAAATCTCTATCAATGCTGTTGTTATTGTATCCTCGAACAACTAGATGTTTCTTTATATACCAATATTCCACAAGACGAAGGAATAGCAGAGTGTGAAGAGGCATGGAACAATCGTAATGACAAAAATCCTCAAACTGCGTGCTTTGTTACACTCCTGAAACTAGGGCTGGAGAACAACAACTTCTCTTTCAATGACAAACACTATCGACAGATAGACGGCACTAGTATGGGCACAAAAATGGTCCCGTCATATGCCAATATATTTATGGCCCAACTTGAAAAACGCCTCTTGGCTAGTGCTCCATACCAGCCATTATCATGGTTTCGATTTATTGACGATATTGATTTTAAATGGACAGATTCACAAGACCATCTGAATGAATTTCTAGAACACTGTAACTCTTTCAATCATTCAATTAAACTTACACACGAAACATCAATGGAGAAAATAAACTTTCGTGATACTACGAGTTACATCCAGAACGAAACACAGACAAACATCAATTTCTCTCTCCTAAAAGTTGTCATCCTAAATACTGCTCCCGTGGTATCCCTTTCAGTCAGGCATTGCGAATCAAGAGAATATACTCAACTGAAAATAAGCAAAATACTAGACTTGGACAACTACGTAAACATCTAGTTGTTCGAGGATACAATAACAACAGCATTGATAGAGCTTTCGAAAAATCAAATAGAACCAGCCGACAAGAACTTCTGGAGTACAAGAATGAGAATAAAGGAGTCAACAGAACACCTCTTGTACTCACTTAACATCCTGATTTTGAAAATGTGTCATCAATTGTTCGAAAGCATTGGAAAATTATAGAAAATGACTCCAATTTGAAAAAAAGTATTATCCTCACCACCAGTCATAGCCTTCTGAAGACCTAAAAACATCTGTGACAAATTAGTGACAGCTGTATTAACAAAGAAAACTACTCAACCTCCCTGTTGCTAAAAACAATGTTGGGGAAAGAAATGCTTATGTTGTAAAGCTGTCAATACTAAAAGTTCTTTCATCAGCTCCTTTACGAAACAAAGTTATACCATCTACACAAATTCCAACTGTAAAACGGAGAACTCAATTTATGTATTAACATGTAACACTTGTGGCATTCGGTACGTGGGAGAAACAATGGACAAATTTATTATTCGGCTAAATAACCATCGATCATGGTACAAAACCAACAAAAACTGTCCCCTCACAAGACATCTTCGCTCAAAGAAACATCCTTTTGATAATGTTACTTTCCAAATCATAGAAGTGAACACTGAGGGGGCGAGAAGGAGAAGAGAAAACTTTTGGATCTACCAGCTCCATACTTTAGAACCTGGTGGGCTTAATGAAAAAGACGAGAAAAGATACAGGAAAGATAAAGAATAATTAATTATAAAGAATTGTCATTTATATCTCTGTAATATTGGCCACTGGACGTTGCAAAACTTCATAAATTTTGTAGTTAAACAAATAATCTTGAACTTCATCCAAACTTTGAATTATTTACAAGACAGCAAAGTGCATGTACAATGAGCTGCAAAAGTTTCTTATCTGCATCCGATTTCACCTAGATAAATGCACGCTCGATGAAGCTAGTTTGTCTAGCGAAATATTGCGTTTAATTTTTATCGCATTGCAAATATTCTAAACATTCTAATATTTACATACTAAATAGTGTGTTAAAATTACATTGTTAGGCAATTTATATAAACGTCTATATATGAGTCAACGATCTTTCTTACGAGGGCGCTGGATCGTTATGAAAAACTGTTCTGTACACAATAAATAAATTATATATACGCCTGAAAAGGTGTACCAATCAACACCAAAATTAAAAAAGGAAACAATAAATGCAGTGTTCTATAAATATTCCGGATAACAGATATCCTTTATCAGTACGATTATGATGATGTACAATGATGCATATCAATCTATTCTGATTTACCTAAAACAATCTTTACTGTTATACAATTAAAAACCGAACAACGCTTGTATAATTCCAAAATTTTCAAAAATGACGTAGGTTAAGTATTTACAACAGGGACTGCATGTGACAAAAATTAAGTAATTACAAAGAGACTGTTTAGAAAAACATTCCCAATGAATAGCACTGACTGATTTGAACAGGTATAATACTAAAATTTCAAATTTGACGAAGGTTAAGTAATTACAAAGGAGGCTGCGTATGTATACATCTCAAATGAATAACACTGTTTGATTTGAAGGGTATAATTTTTAAATTTCAAAACTGTCACAGCGTTCAGGTTGTAGAAAGAGCAGTTCGATAACAGGGATACATTTGTGTCACATGCATTGTGTACTAATTCTTTTTTTATTTAATTCAGCTCATGGTGGTCTCTGGTGGATATTTGTCTCATTGGCAGTAATACCACGTCTTCTTCCTTGTATACACAAACCAAAATAATCATACAATAGTCATGTTATACTATCATAACGTGAATACTAACAGTATACATACAATGATGCATAACGGATTTTTGTTCACAACAGTAAAATTTCACAATCGATCAAAATGAATGAGATGGGTCTTCCTAAATAAACAGATGCCTATACGCCATGTCAATCTCTTATGATCATTCCGACTCTAAAAACCAAATTGTAATTAGATGGATATATCGTAACCATAAGTTGTTTTAAAGTGGTCTTGGGAAGCGATATACATGTATCTTTAACATTTTTTTATAGTTTTGGAATCCAACGATCACTTAAATTTCAAGCTTGGTCTGTGGTTTATTTTTATTCGAACTAAAAAAAATCGAAAATACGGATAGACAGATAGACGAACCCCATGAAGTTAATTAATTTATATTCACTATTATTGTTTTATATCTATTGTAACAATTGAACTTCGTCTTTGACTGCTATGTTGTTTTTCTATTAACTACTTTACAGAAAGAACGAATACGTGTGGTGTAAAAATTTGCTTTACATGGACAGTGACATCAGATAAGCTAACACTTACTTGTAAAGTCGGACACTTACATTTTAAAGTCAAGATAGAAGATCCTTTTGGAATTAGGCAGGCAGATTGTTTACCTCCTGCTCCAACAGCAACCTGCCAAAGCCATTACTATAATGGCAGTATTTCCCAAAACATACAGACAAACGAAACTATTTATGTCTTGGAAGGAAAAATTGACCAACAAGTGAATGGAAACTGGACTTGTCTGCATGGGACTAATTTAGAAATAAGTCATGTTGACGTAACTGTATTGCAAATAAAAGGTAATTACTATTTTTTACGTAAATTGCTAGATAATGTTTTTGGAAAGTCAATTTTTTATATGTTACTTACTTTTTCCATTGAAATAAAAAGATATCGAATTTTAGCAATGTTCTGTCGCATTAATCACTGGTGACAACTATGCATATGTATAACTGGAATACCAGTCATTGCACTCATATACTTACAAGCTAAACTAGATTATATGAAAGAAGAGCAGTAATGAAAAGTAAACACAAGGATGTTAAATTAGGTCAATACAAATATTAACAGCTTAAGCATTGTCCTTTTCGACTTTATATAATAACTGCTCATGGTTCGATTCGATTTAGATTAGATAAGCAAATGTTTGAACTGACTTCTTAGAATTCAGCGAACATTATAGATTTAAAAAAAATTGTAACAGGCATATATAATATTGATACAATTCATAAGCGTTGGTTCGTTAAAAAGAAGGATGGGTGGTATCTTTTTAACAATCCAACACTTATCCATAGTGTCTATTATTTAAACTATTACTGACACGTCTTTGTATATGTAAAAAAATGATAATCTTTTTCTTCATGATTAAGTACGAACGTTAGCTAGTACTTATCATGAAGTAAGGGATTATCATTCTCTTACAAACTTAGAATATTGTAAGGTGCTAAAGGCTCAAATGATCTATTGATTGGTTGTATTCAAAAATTAGTTTCATTGTCAGTACAATGTTTATAATTAATGCATGCCTTCCTTTTTAGGCATTTCATTTATGGTTTAGTTTGAGTGATGTCAGGACTTTTTTATAATTTGGGAAATATTAAAAAAAAAGATGCGTTATAAACATTAGGTGTCACAAAAGTACAATGAAAAGGTAGGAATTGTATATGTTTCCTGATTGTGAGTATGAATGTAAATCGTGTAATATTTTAGTGTGGAATTATCCCTTTTTTATTAACAGTTTAAATCTATAAATACACTTGAGTTACAACTAATTTCATTTCACAGCCAATATTTTGGTCTGGCTTTTAAATCAAATACTATTTCATTATGTCAAGGGAATGTTCAAATAAAATGACTATATATAAAATATATTCAAAACTTAAATTGAATTCCTGTTTTATTTTATTTTATCGGAATATTGGATATAACTATTCTTCCCAACCGCTGGTCCAGTAAAGATTAAGGTTATTTTTTATTTTAAAACTTTTTTTTCTTTTTTTTTTGAATTGCTTTTGATATTGTTTTATTTGAAGTTATTAATATTTTCATAATAACATTAAAGGTACCAATTTTACTGCACCAGTAAACTTTTTTTTTTGTCTGTTTCACAATTCAACTTTTAGTCAGAGTGATAAATCCTTTCTATCTGATAAATTGCATCGTGTCAGTTGTAACTCATTCATAGAAACTCTTTGTTTTGAACTGTAAGTAACAATAGGATAATCTCTTATTAAGAACATGATTTACCATCATTCTTCACAATTAAGAAACACCAAATCCTATAATTTCATTGGTCGAGAGCGCTTTGCTATATTGTAATCAAAATTAAAGAGTTCTTTCGTTAATGAGACTCTTTTGTCAGTGAGTTCAAATAACCACCTAGTTATCTTGAACGATTCGCAAGAAACAACCCCTTATTAGAAATATACAGGTAGTGGGTTTAAATCATGATTTGTTTTTAAATTGCATGCACTTTCAGTACACTGTACTAAATTTTCGTTGAATAATTATGAATCTGAATATTATCTGTAATTTACAAAATACATATGACATATTCGGACTAATTTCTAGGTATGTATGATACCAATGTTACTGAATTTCTAGCAAGAAATCAATTGAAGCCACATCAAAATTTACTCTCATAGTGATTCGCCAATTTGCAAAATTTAAGGATATGTATTACAACTGGTGAAAACAACCGTTTTTAAAAAGACGTCTTAAACAGTCGAAAACAAATTACCTTGGTATACGTAGAAAGCTATACTTTCATCATATTAAATTTTTTTTTCTAGAAGAAGATTTGTCTGAGATATTTTGTGAGCCCTGTAAGATTTATTTCATTTTCACAAAGCTTAAGTTCATAAATAAAAAAAACCAAAATAACAGAGTATCGTTAAGACATATTGATTATTTTCATTTCTTCCTAAATTTCAAAATAAAATGATATGCACGTTTAATGAAATTATTATTCGTGTTTGGTTTAAAAGGGCATCAGCTCTCAAATGTATGTTATATTTACGTATATCCAAATTAAAAAAATGTAAAGGATAAATTACAATCAACAATGCAAGGAATCGATAACATGTATCGGAATTTCGTGTATATTTTAGTCTAGACGCCACCTAATTAACCATCGAGATGACCCCCCGAAGACTGCCGAGGGTCATATAAACCAATATAAATATAAATATAAATTATATAGATAGGAAGCACGTACAATTCGATTTTTTTTAGGTCTGTTTGATTTCATATTATAAGTTAACAAAATAATCATAATTTTTAACTGTATAAAAGTGATTTGTTGATGATCGTATCAGTCAATCAAATGGTTCGCCCTTATTTTACCTTCAATGTTTACATTATTTTCGTTTTTATAGCTAAACACGCCTAGAACATGATTAACCCATCTTCAGCTAATGGGTTAAATTGAAGGTAACACGAAAACGGATTCAATGAGGTTAAAGTATTCACTTGCATGTCAATAATAAATCAGCAAAGTGTTTGAGCTTATTTTGACGAATTTGTGCTAAACTGACTGCTTATGACGAAATATTATTTCAAAATTCCGCTTTTATTAGTCCTTGATACAAAAAGAATCGTATTCTATATTTTTGTATACATCATAGCTAATGTCCCTTTAACATCAAATCAATAAACTTCATTAACAGATCTTATATTCTATGGCAGGTCCAAAATATGTGCTCACTATCTTTAATAGAGTTCTTCATTGCAGAAAGTAAATTTATCGCTTTTGTTTTATTCTAATCTTGAATAGAAATTTCATGCGCTAAAATGTTTGTGTATTGTTCTATACTGAAACCAATGAAGTATGAACTTTGGGTGGTGTAAAAAGATATATTGTGCGCGTTTTTATATGTTTCAATCTGATGGACCTCTTGTCGTCATAGTTATGTCACGTACTATTTGTTCCTAATACACGTAGAACATTATATCTATCTGTCCAGCCTGTTGAACCTTTGTTTCATAAGATAAAGGTTCTTATATTAAATGATCTATAGAAATATTATTACATGTATTATTGAGAGATTTGTAATATAACTTTATCACTGAGATTACTTATTTATAAGTCAGAAAGTTTGATTTAATCTTATAAATATTGGCATTATTCAAAGGAAAATAATGTATCCCCATTATCTCGTAGTCCTTTTATCAAAAAGATAACTTTACTCTCTTCTGTTTATATGGAAAACAGATATATTTCCTATTTTGATATTAATAAAGGCAACAGTAGTATACCGCTGTTAAATAACTTTAATAAATTAATAAATAAATTTTTCTTCCTTTTAATTTTCGAAGTTAATGTTAAAATTCTGTTCATGTTTTCAAAATCATTTCCAAATGGAATTGTTTTCTGTACTTTTTACTACCTTATTAGATTTTGGGTTGTTTGTAAAACAAATCCTTAATCCATGTCTATTCCAACCTATTGATATATTTTTATCATCTAGTATTTTCAGCCCCTAAAATTCATGGTCTAGACATATTATTATTCTTTCTATTTTGTCAGGTTAGTTATCCCAAATAAACAAACAAAGTCTGTCAATAAGTTGTTTTAAGGTATGATTGCATGGGTTATTAATGTTAAATAAAAAATGGTTAATTTTGAAATAATAGTTTAAAAAATAAGAAGATGAACTATGATTACAAAATAGACAACTTTCCAGCAGATGTCACAGAAGCAAGGGTTGGAATCCCGCTGAGGGAAGAACAAAAATTTGCTAACGCAAATTTGAAGATCTAACATAGCTGGGCTAAATTTGAAACGAATTATATATATTATGGTGTTAGCCCTGTATAACCACGTGTTATCCGATGGAGAATGTCTGTCATAAAGTTTTCATATGTTTAGACGTGTTTATATAGTATGAATTGTGAAGTAATTTCAAGATACTATATATAGCAAATAAATTAATGAAGAACTATCCTCCATACACGACGTTTTTAAAAAGAGAGAAACAGAATATTGATCCTTTTTTTGTCATATCTTACCGCTAGAAGGCAAATACTTCTTATTTCAAAATAAGTACTAATAAATCTTGACACTGAGATATTAACATTTTCAGAATCACTAGACTTCACCCAAATAAGTTGTACGTACTTTGGAATATAAAAATAATTCAATATACTATTGTTTTATTTATACATGTGTTTTTGTTGTGTACTTTACATATATTAAAGGTAACGTACTAACCCTGTGAAAAAAAGTTAAAAGGTGTCATCTGAATTTTTTTTTTCCATTAGGTTAAAATTGGAGTGGGTTGATACCAAATAGAAATCGTTGAACTTCGCCGAATGCATTACGTTCTTTGTTTATGCTGTTTCGTCACTGCTTCATTAACATATATATCCTTCGTGTCTTCTTGTTTTCATATTTAAATTTAAGTTATTGACTGTTATAAGTTATCTAGTACCTGGATTCATTTCTGCTCAGACTGTCTTGGAGCATATATTAATATTTCATTAATGCTTGAATGGTAAGCAAAAAGAACGAATAGAGAATTAGATACACATCAAGGTACAAATCAAAACCTGAGGGAATATCATGGACTCCAAAAGGACCTAGACCGAGTGCTTTGAGAGGGTAAGCGTCTCTTGTTATTTATGCAACATCTGCCATTCGAATACATACTCCGTAAAAATGTCACAATCAGGAAAAGGACGCAATCGGTAAAATTGCAGATCAGACGACCATTCTAGTATCTGAAGATCTAAATGCAAGAAGGTATGTATCTATTGAGTTGAAACACAGACGTACGTCTGGGTCACGCAATTTGAGATGGTGACTGTAAACAAATGAGGTTTAGATTTCTGTCGTTCTTACTCGGAGAAACTTTTGTGAAAGTAGCAAACCCTTCTTCCTGAAGTCCGTTTAGCGTTAACATGCACAACCGTAACTTATTAGTTGAGTTTTTGAAATGTCATATGATGGCAGAGGGTATGAAACTGCATAGAAATAAATATTGACAATGATCACGTTTATTAAAGATTGTTGTTTGAAGTAGTCAATAAGGAAGAGAAGATCACAGAATGAAACACGCCTTCTAGTTTCGTTAGGGGCAATTGATATCCCCTACATAATCTTCATAAACATAATATTGCCAAATGTTCAGTGCCATAGTTATCGAAACTAAGTTCGGTGTCCTAGTTATGCAATTAATTTTGAATGTATTTACATATACATGTTTATAAATTTCTTTTACAAACCACTTTCCAGAGAATTCATTTCTTACCGTTTTCAAAATATATTTCGATGTCTAATTGAAATTCATATAGTTTGTTCAATTTTTTTCATGTTCTTTTGTTATTAACTCCTAACTTTCCTTTGGCGTCTTAAAAATATGTCAAATTGTCATATAAATATGTTATCAGCTACCTTAGTGTTCCTCGCTTCTAAATATATTGTTCTGGAAATTACTCAAACGTGTATTTTTAAATACATTTTAGGTGTAATAGAAATTTGAAAACCTTAATTAGGAAGTACAAATATTGTTTTTTTTTTTCACAGGTGTCAAGAACAAATCTAATAAAAAAAACTGGAGTACCTGTTGGACAATTGTGATCGTATTTATTGTTTTGTTGTCTGTATGTTTACTGATATGTGTGTGCATTTACAAAAAGAAATAAATGGAACGTAAAGTAAATAATGCACTTGCTATAATTACCCATTAACGCATATCTTAATGATGCTAGATAAATGACAGTACCTTATTACTGTCGCCCTAGTCTAAAATGTCTGATGCAATAATTCGCTCAAACAGTCTTTTCCAATTGCCAACCTGTACTCGAACTTTTTTTCAGCTGCGCTAGACAAGTTCTTAACCTGTTTTTATTGTCTTAAACATACTCGACTAAAGATGTGAACTAGACTCTACAAAACTTATGTTCTGAATCATACTCCACCAACTTTTAATCATACTCAAGAAGTGTATTTCTATTTTATTCTAGGCCAAAATATGTGTTAATCTAAAACCAAATACAGTAAGACCTGTATAAACAATCTGGCTATGAGACTATAAGAAAGGACCGGTTTGGACAGTGGGTCGGCTTATTCCGGTTTTCCGTTTTGACAGGACGTTATTGACTTGCGACGTAAGATAGTTTGCATGTGCAAGTTCTGTCTCGAAGTAAATTGTAAACCAATAAATACAATTAACCGTAATAATCTATTTATTAATTGTTAGGTTTTGCGACAGTCCGTTTTTATGTATGTTGGCGTTTGCTTTTGTTGTTATTCAGTATTTCTGTTGTTCCGTTGTTTTCCTCTTATAGATGGTGTGTTACCCTCGGTTTAAGTTTGTTACCCAGATTTGTTTTTGCTTAATCGAATTATGACTATTGAACAGCGGTATACTACTGTTGCCTTTATTTATGTCAAGGTTTGTGTGAAAATATTGTAACATGAACATTACACGTGTTCTCTGCCTTTTCACCTGTTAATTACGCACGATCGTTGTTTTGAGGCATCGTATTCATTGAACTGGAACGTCTTCACTGTATTGAATAACTAAACTACATAAGTGTCCTTAAAACAACTTAATATTGCTTGGTCTTCCAAGTGCTCCACGAAACCTCTTTCTAAATTATTAATATCAATATGATAAGCAATCAAAGCCGGGCTTCAAAGTTGTTTTGACACTACCTATTCGAGAGGTGGCGTGAATCAGATATGGATATTATAATGTTCTTTCACTTTGAGTTATTGTTTTCATTTGCACCAGAGTCCTCGCGTTGTTTGAATTATTCAACGAGATTTTCGTTTTACTTCAATCGTTCATTTCCTACTTTGGTAATCCAATTAAAAAGCAAGAATTTTATCAAACATAATTTCATCATGATCGACACATTGTAGTACAATTATGTACGATACCTCTAAATTCGACAATGGAATGTTGTCATCCTGGACTTCTACGTTATCAGGGTAATTGGTTTCGGGTTTCACATCCGGGAACCCAGCATTTCGATAACATGATGTAAATTTCTTACTTCACGATTTTTAAAATTTATCAAAGTTACAACGTAAGTTCTATCCGAGATATATTCGGCGTTTTTTTAATTTTTTTAGTTTATTTTATTTCAATTTTAATTGTGTTTCAATATCTCACTACTGTAAGTTCACAGTTTAACACCTTGCTATTTGATTATCCTGAAAAACCATCTTGTATAAACAATAACTGGTTTTGACAGGTAATAATTAATGTAATTAAGAGTATCGAGACTGTATAATTAGACCGGAATTCGGAATACACAGGGTCCAGTTTACAGAGGGTATTTTTACTAAGACATTGAAGAGAAAAAAAATGGGACTTCAATTTTATAAAGTCAATTTTTTGTAATTACATTTTTTCTCCCTGTATTTTTCATATAAAAACTGTTTTCTACTATTTAATCAAAGTATATTTCCCTCTTGCAAAGCTCCGATTAAAAAATTAACAAAAAGGTCACGAAATATATTATTTCTGGTCTCCAGGCACAACAGAATATGGTAAATAGATAGGAAAAAGTTTTTTTTAAATATTTTATGACTATACAAGGCAATAGGCATAATGAATGCTTTACCATAATGGTTAGACTAGGGTAGGTACGGATGCAGGAAACAGAACTATATCAAAATGATATGCGTTCTAATTAAATAAATAAGTTAGTTAATACAAAATCAAATCAAAATACACAATCATGAATGGTAATATTGAACATTTTATCTGTGAAATTCGAATCCGATATAGCATAGATGATGGCCATTATGTTACTTACTTAGTAATTCATTCTGGGGTATCAACAAGTAGAGTGCATTTTGTCCCATCTCCCTTTCCATGCATTTCGTAGTCAGAATATTGTCACTGATCCCTCCTATTCCTATTGCACTCTGATTTATTTTGTCTCGTCCTGTATTACTCAGATACCTGACCTATGAAATTATATTAGAATAATTTAATTTTGGATGTAACGCGTCTTCTGATTGGCTGACGTCGTTTTGTTTATCAGCTCATAGACATAATTTTGTCATGTGACCATGATTTACTACGGTTTAAAATGGAATTAAGAATTAAATTATAAGAAATGACTGTAATATTTTTCTGCCTATTCGAAATAACATAAAAAATGTGGTGCACACTTTAAATAACCCGCTACGCGTATGGATAAAGAAGTGAACTTGAAAATGAATTAAGTCAACAAAATTACTGTAGCAAAGATCAGATTTATTTTGCCTAACATCGACCAAACATAAATTAAATTTTATAACTCGAAAAGATGCATTTCCAATACCAAGGATAGAGGCCTGTATCGACATTCTTAGATGTAGTAAATTTATGACCTGTTTAGACATGACGTCAGGATATTATCAAGCTGAAATACATGAGAACGAGGCACAAGACAGCGTTCCTAACTAAACATGGACTTTCTGAGTTTTGGATTGTGTAATAGTCCTGCATTTTTTCAGCGAATGATACAGTTAGTTTTGACAGGTTTAACATGGAAAATATGCCTTGCATACATTGATGACGTTATTGTTATGTCCTTACTGTAGCGCGGAGAATGTGATGAACATATTCAACTCTACTCCTCGACGTAGACGCAGTCATGATCATCGTCATTATACACCACCTACTCTCCATGATGCCTCTATTAATGATCTGCTGCCATTTATAAAAAAGCCGTTTGGTATTTATCACATTCGTACGAGCTTTATTCATTACCCCTTTCAAAACTTCATTCTCTGTACAACTTATTTTTGGAAAACATTGTTACAAACCCCCATTCAAACCAATACAAACTTACAGCTATCATCTCGGATATTGCCAGTCACATACTTTTCAAATCAGTTCGCATTGGAAAAGATGAAAAGAAGAAAATATACTTTCTAAAACCTTCCTTTACCCACAAAGGTCTCAATCCCATCCATTTTGGCAATATCCTTCATCATAAATCATTTCATTGAAAATACCTCCCTATTTTCATTTTGTACCTATCATTTCTTATGACTATTATAAAACAATTGCAACTAAAATTTTCAATAAAAAGCATGTTTTGCAGGATCTCAATATTGACGACTTCAAGTCTAAACCTCCTGATTGCACATGTGCTAGTTCTCCATTCATTCATACAAATTCCTTGTTCTAGATCATGAAAAATTTTACTTTGTGAAGAACCATACTGATTTTAAAAACAAATACACCAAAGATGATATCATCAAAATGATGCTCGACAACACATTTGTTGCGTTTGGTGCATTTATATTTCAGCAGACAGTCTGTTTCCAATGCGTATGTAATGTGCACCACTACTGGCTGACTTGTTACTGTAGTTCTCCGAGCTACAGTAAGGACAAGATAGAATACCAATACCATTAATATGGTAATTGCAACCATATGGTGTCGCTGTCCCAATTGTCGAATCCAATAGTCTTCCTTTTGTCTACGGAGAGGTGTTGCAAGAAGAGGATTGTTAGCCCTGTGGTATATTTTTTCGATGATGCAAACTTGCATAGAAAGGCTTGAATTATGAGGCTGATGAAAATGCTGGTAAACAATGTCGCTTGCATTGTTGTTGATGTCTGATCTATGGCCGCACATACGTTTATAAAGCCTTCCTTTCGTTACACCGACATATATCAATCCGCAAAGGTTAAACTCTGGTAAAGTAATATTTGTTAGTTAAATTGCCAATGAATTGAGCATCTTTTATTAAATATTTGCAGGTTTTACAGTTTTTGGTTTTAAATTTTGTTCAAAACATTTCTTCATAATTGGTTAAATATCTCAAAATCATACATTTTAACTTTAATTAAATAGTAAGAATGCAGTATTCTTTATGAAAAATTCAGATAAAATACAAAAAGGTTAAACAATTTAATTTAAAAGAAATTTACTTTAATTGTTAACCAACTTAATCATCTTATGGTTTTTATTTACATATTCAAAAGTGGGCAAACCAGGATGAGACCGATATTTCTGTAATGTTGTAATACTCGATTACTGTTAATATAACAAAAATTGCAATTTTTTGAATTATTATTACTTATCATAATATAAAAAAGCACATATATGTATTACTTTTACAAAATAAACTATATCAAAAATTATGGATTTTTTTCAAATAGAAAATATTATTTTTTGTTTTTTCATTTACTGAATAATATCTAATTTTACAAATTATCATGAACTTATTTCTTTAATCTTATCAATTTCATGAAAGTTAAAGTTTGCAAATATCTTTTAAAGCAAATACATTACAAAACTATATAAGGTAAAGAATATGAATAAAATAAAATACGGCAAGACAGGAACGCAACAGCATAATTAACTAAAATACACCTTTTTATTTTATTCTAGTATTTTACACAATGTTTTTCATGATTAAATTTAAACAGAAGTATAATTCTTAAACTGGTAAAAAGACTTTATCAAAAAGTAAAAATCCCCAGCCCTTCATATAAATGGATACATTGATATACAAAGTTCTTAAGCCTTTGAGCATATTAAAAGCATGATAAAAAGTTTATTCAGCAGTTATTACTATAAAGATGTGTAAAATGTGAATGAAGCACATATATGGCAGATTAATAAATATTTATTTACTCCAGGCCCCAAAATCAATAACTGCTGCACACTATCAAAATGCATTATATTAAACATTTGTA